TGCAAAGGAATTATCTTTGTCAGCAAATGCTTCATTGAATCGACTGAAGTGCTGATGGTGGGATTTAACGAATTTAAGGTTGGAGCGATGTTAAAGAAGAAGACCGATCGAGTATTATCGAGATGATCGAGAATTTGTCGAAACTACGATCTGCAAAAAAAGCACCGGACAAAGATCCGAAGCGACGCAAATCAAATGTGGAGACAAACAAAAGTAACGACGATTCAAAGAAAACACCAAAGAAGGAAACTGACAATAAGGCAAAACAATTGCAACCGACCGAAAAAAAGAGTTTCGATAAGGAAGAGGCAAAAAAGCAAAGAAGAATCACAGATAAAAGGAATGACAAGTCATCGAAGAATGCCGATTCGCATGAGGAAGTGGATGTGGAGCAGCAGTCATCGTCTGCTTCTGCAGTGCACAAACATTCTGAGCATGACAAAGACAAGAAGAGACCTGAGAAGAGGAAGTTAGTAAAGGAGGTGGATGAGTGCAACGAGAAGAAGACGGACGATGCTGATCGAGACCAGCCGAACGAGAAGAAAAGTAAGCGGAAATCGGTGGATGAAAAGGATGAATCTGAGATGAAGAAACGCTCAAAATTTGATTCATTCAAGTTGTTCTGTAAGCTGTGCGACGTGATCAGTACTGTACCAAAATATTCAGACAAATCCACTGCAGTCAATCTGTTCATCAATAAAGGTTGTTTTTGTATTATTGCGTTCATTTTCTTGTGTTCTTCATTTATTACTTCATTACAATTTCATTTCTGCTGTTCATGTCACTGTTTACCTTTGCCGAATCATAATTTCGATTTGCTTTCATCAAAAATTCTGCTTTCAGAAGGCTACGATGGTGATGTGCTGCTTTTAATGCATATGTTGATACCATCTACAGATCAGCGTGTCTACAATCTCAAAGAAAAACAACTCATCAAATTATTCTCTTACGTTCGTTCATTTATTCTAACATTCTTTTCACTCGGTTCATCCTCGAATACCTAATCGTGTATGATTTCTAACAGTCATGCTTACACCTTGAATGTAACAAACAGCACTTGTTCAGTGAGATTATTCAACGCTTAAAATTTTTAGTCTTTTCATCTGCTGATTATTGTCGGCAAAATAAAGTTGAGTGGAGAAAATAGAACTTGGATGGGTGTATTTTCGGCGCTGCGCCTTTGTACAGCTGATCACTTCTTTCTTATTATTATATTTTATTGTTATTGTTATCACCATGAAAAGTATGGCATAATCGACAACAGTAATTGTGAGAATGGCATTAATTTCAGATTTTTGACTGGTCAGTGGATGAGGTGACTTCAGCGTACAATCAGTCTGGAGACATCTCAGCCACACTTCGACACTACTTCGAAAAATCCATAGAAAATAACCGAAAATCACAGCTTTCATTGCACGACGTTAGTTTTTGCTGGATTAATTCATTGTTCGTTTGAATGTCATTTCTCTTCATTCAAATACAAAAGACGAGTGCAGTTTTGAGTGTATGCTGGAGAACAATTCGATTATGATCACAGATTTTTGAACGCGTAG